ATTATTGCACTTCATTTATGCTTAAATCCATCATTAGAAACTCTGTGAATTTCACTACAAACATACCACAATTACACCTGCATTTGTATAAAAAATTCAAAGTCAGCAAACATTTTGTACTGCCTACATTTTCAACACAGGTAAGGTCACTCTCACAAAATCATAATAGTTAACTACCACAGTGCATATATTGTGGCATTGTATTTAAGACATTGAATTTTTGACAGTGCATATATTGTGGTAGTGTATTTCAAACATTGAATTTTTGGAAGTACATATTGTGGCTAACATTATGGCAGTGTATATATTGTGGCAGTGTAGATATATTGTGGCAGTGTATATATTGTGGCAGTGTATATACTGTGGCAGTGTATATATAATACAAATTTGTTTAATTAAGGGTAATATTGGGAATTCATCTCAAAAACTTATAGCACTGCTATTTTGCGTATTATAAGCCTATTAAAGTGCTATATTCGTATTTCTCCCTTTTGAGGACACGATTTTTTTGAAACGTGAAACACTTTTTTGGGACGAAGGGAGTATGACATAACTCTATATATTTCTTAGAACAAATGTCTCGAGATAGGAGTAAAATGATACGGAGTAAATAAGTGTGGGATTGATACAGGACTATATTTAGTTATTTACCATTATTATTATATTAATATTATTATTTATGGTTAGATAATTATATTATTATTAGGAAGTATTATTATATTAGGTTATTAATATTTTAATTTATTTAGTTACCTTTCATGGCTAGGACTCTTTAGATCAACCATCTATATATGTAGCCATTATGCATGAGTTTATTGAATCAATGAAGAATAATCATTTTCCTAAACCCTAATCTCTTCCTCTTATCTCTCGTTCTTCTCTCCCGCAGAACAAAGATTCGCGGTTCTCTCCCTCTTCTCGTCTCTTTTTCTCTTGGAGCTTGAAGAACGCTCGAAGTTCTTCTCTATCCCGATACGATACTGTATCAATTGGTGCTCTCATTGTTAAACTCACCATAAAAAAACCAAAAAAAAAAAATATCGTCGTCGGCGCCACCCAATCTCGGATCGTGTGCTTGTGGCGTGTGGCAATTTGCGGATGAGTGGCAAAAGTTGGCTAGATTTCAAGGTAGTACTCCACAATCGGCATATTGGGTTTTGAAAAAAAAAAAGAAAAAACAATAGTGGCGAAGCAATTTCAAAGTGGGAATTGGCAGATTCCTTCTACCACCCAAAGACAAAAAGTTCCTTGCCAAATTCATTTTTTTTTCCCGCCGATTGAGTGGCTACAGTAGAGTTTTTTGTATTGGGCAGATCATTCTCCTCTTATCTATTTTGGTTTCTCGATTTTGCCGTTCCAGCGTAAGCAGATCAGTTGCATAGAACCGCTTTGCACCAGCCTTAAGGGCGTCCAAACCCGTGAGTTCTTATTTGTTTACTTTTGTGACTGCCCTGATAATTAATTATGTTTGGAGATTTCGAGCCTTCTATTGATACATTCAATGTTAGAGTTGATAATCTTCTTGGTTTATTAAAGAATGTTCTTTATGGAAAAACTACATTCGAGGAAGGGATATGTGCAATTGACGATTCCGTTGACGATCTTATAAAGAAACTCCAGTCGATTCGTCATATTAAAGGTCAATTATCTTATGATCTGGACTTATATGCGTTCAACGTAGAAATTTGTTGCTCAATCCAGAATTTAATTCGTGGTTCTCCATTTATGCCAAGTTTGATCCCGATAGAGTTACACTTGTTCAAAACAAATATGATGAGCACAGTAAGGAAACTCATCGTGGCGCCACTTTCTCCATCAAATCTAGCCCCTCAGGCTGGGGAGGTGATTGTTCAGATCGTGGAAGACACAACCGCCTACACTGGTTCTGTTGTAGAAAATTCAAGCGTCGAGCTATGCATCGAGGATGACAGGAAAAGTGGATCTGATGATGTCATGGGTACTAGTGCTTGTGCTAGAGCTCGAGTTGTTGAGTCAACTTACAAGTCCGAGTGCCTATCAGCACAGTGCCCCGATGGTGTTCTTCTGATTGTGACTGATCATGTCCCTACAAATGGTGTTAATAGAGACAACCATTGGCGAAACCTCTCTATCTTGAAGAAAGTTTCCCCAGGCAACAATGTGATTTTTTATGGATGCACAAAGGAATTTGAGACGACAACTATTAAAGTTATTGCCTTTTGTGGTTCTAAATGTTTTACGCAAGAGGACATTGTTTTCCAACCGTTGGTTGCATGGAGCAGTTTTATTCATACTGACGGTACTTTGGGCCCCACACATTCCTTTGGTGCTCCAAGGATCAAAGTGTTTGACCCCGGAGGATGGACGATGAACGGTGCAATTTTTTCCCGTTCTTTATTTGATTTCCAACTTGAGGACAAGTTGGTTTTCGAGGCGGGAAGAGTGATACAGGACTATATTTAGTTATTTACCATTATTATTATATTAATATTATTATTTATGGTTAGATAATTATATTATTATTAGGAAGTATTATTATATTAGGTTATTAATATTTTAATTTATTTAGTTACCTTTCATGGCTAGGACTCTTTAGATCAACCATCTATATATGTAGCCATTATGCATGAGTTTATGGAATCAATAAAGAATAATCATTTTCCTAAACCCTAATCTCTTCCTCTTATCTCTCGTTCTTCTCTCCCGCAGAACAAAGATTCGCGGTTCTCTCCCTCTTCTCGTCTCTTTTTCTCTTGGAGCTTGAAGAACGCTCGAAGTTCTTCTCTATCCCGATACGATACCGTATCAGGGATGATAGTGTGGTGGCAATGTGATAGCATGACAAGTGACCACACTATGGTAGTGGAGTGTGGTGGCAGTGCGGTGGTGCACCACCGATCAACAGTGGGTAACGTTGGGCAGACAATGTCTAGCACTAATAATAATAATCATGAATATATTGGAATTTTTTACGAGACAAATGATAGAAGAAGTTAAGGCATGAGATAATTAAGAATCAAAGAGAGCTATAAGGAGACATACACATAATGAAAAACTTTTGTGGGTTTCTTCATATCATCAGCTTCCACTACTTCACCATCCCCCTTGTAGGTGCTAAGAATCTTGCGTCCAAGGAAATAGGCAATGACTTGAGCACCCACCAGACATATAATAGCTAGAGCTAAGAAGAAGAAGAAGTAGTGCTTATTGGAAAGTGGATTTGGTGGTAGAAATAGTGACACTAAGATTGCTGCACAACCATCCAACAACATGGCGCACGTAGCCGCAGCATACCCCAAAACCGCCCAACACATTTTATCCGGCCGGCCACTCCGATCCACCAGTTAATTAGCTAATTAATTAAGGAATATCTAATTAACAAGATTACTTACATTATATATATATATATATATATATATATATATAAATTTTGGTTCAGGTGAGAATGCAATCTAATGAAAGAAATAAGAATGAATCTGGTGCATTAGATTGGGAGATCTAAGGGTTAGGATTGCATCAAAATTAGGTGCACCAAGATGGTTTGAAAATGCATCACGTCGAATTGCACCATAATCCTTTGAAAATGCACTATCTCAAAATTTGAGTACAGAATGCAATCTGAGCCGCACGATGCATCAGATCCAAAGGCTAGATTTTATTCTTATTTCTTTCACCAAGGTGCATTCTCAGTGTTATATATATATATATATATATATATATATATATATATATATATATATATATATATATGAATTTATTTAAATAGCACTAAAACCTAACAACTTTCCCTAAATAACATCATATGCGTCTTTTTCCAATGTAGTACTTTTAGTCATTATCCATTAGTTATTATTCAAGTTATTGTTCACCATCACTAGACATTATTCCTTTTTCAGGACTTTATTGAGTGTTATTTAAGTAATAAAACAATTTAAGTTCTATTTAGGGAAATGATTTAAATTTTAGTGTTATTTATTAGTGCAATTATATTATGGAGGGAAGTGATTTGAGACAAAAGGGATTATGCCTTTTTTATTGTTTGATGATTTTGCGAAGTTTGCTGTTGTAAAACGTAACTTTCCCGGGATTGGATGTTGAAATGAATTGCTTTCGGCTAAAAAAAGAAAAATGTTTTGAAAAAAGTAAACATTGTATAGACTATAGTGTGAGAAATTGTATTTGGAAAAAGAAAAAGGGAGACATATCTAATTTAGAAATAAATAAAGCAGGTTTCACATATGCGTGAAAAGATACTCAATTTTTTTACTCTAGTATACTCCCTTCGTTCTCAAAAAGAGTTCATAGTTTGATCAAATGTAAAAATAAGAAAGTGTTAAATTATACTTCATTCGTTTCTCAAAAAGGTTCCTGTTTTGATTTTGGGGGAAAATAAGGAAAGTGTAATTTTAGTTGACTTTCTAATTTTGCCCCTGATGTGATGGGTAAAAGTAAGATGTGATAGTTTAGTTATTAGTGAAAAAATATGATGTGATAGGTAGGGTATGAAAAAGTAGGGGTAAAAGTGGTTTTTTAATAGAAAAGGGAAATGTTTTAAGAAAAACAAAAAAATGAAAGAGGAAGGGTTTTAAGAAACGGAGGGAGTAGTTGACTTCCAATTTTGTCATTGATGTGATGGGTAAAAGTAAGATAGATTTAATGAATACGAGTAGATTATTAAAAAAAAGTATGATGTGATAGATAGGGTATGAAAAAGTAAGGGTAAAAGTAGTTTTTTAATAGAAAGTAGAAATATTTTGTTGGAAGTGAAAAAAATAAAAGAGAAATTATTTTTGAGAACGGAAGGAGTATAAAATTGAAATACTCTTCCATCTCATTACATAAATATTAATATATTGATATCATAAAAAACTTGGGCCTTTTACAAAAACAAATCTACTTGTTACCCTATAAATAATGTGAGAATGTCTACATTTTACCTGTAGATCTTAGGATCAAGAAAGAACAACTGCAGTAGATAATGTTGAAATTGCAACACTCCTAGTAGGGGTGTATACGAATCGAATTGAAGCAAATATATCACTATTCAATTCGTATTCGATTAAAGTGATATGTATTCGAATTCGAATTCGTATACAATTCAAATTTTAAAAAACATTCGTATTCGATTTGATAGATATTTGACGTATTTGAATTCGTATTTGAATATTCGAATTCGGAAATATTAGTAATTTTTTTCTTAAAACAGATTTCTTAAAGACATTAAATTATTATTTTATAATAATGTAAAATGTAGTAAAAATATGTTAGAATATATATAAATTTATATATAAATTATAATATTCAAATATATATAAATTTATATGTACAAAAAAATTTAATTTATTAAAATATGTTAAAATATGTACCCAAGTATTTAATATATTAGAATATATATAAATTTATTTATAAATTTAATATTCGAATAATTTGAATAATAAACGAATCGAATATATTAATATTTGTATTCGAATTCGAAAATAATTCGAATCTAAAATATGATTTGTATTCGGATTCGAATTCGAATATAGCGAATACGAATCATCCTTTTCGAATACGAATCACAAATCGAATGCATTTTATTTGATTTGTATGCACCCCTAACTCCTACACTCCTATTTATGGGTTTAAAACATATGACAACTTATTTTAAAACATATGACAACTTAAAAGAAAGTGATGCAAATAGTGGAACGACAACTTCTTTACTTAAAAAATTTAAAAAAATGTATTGAAAAATGAAAATAGCATTACTTTTTTGTTTCCAATTGATTAACTCAATATTATTATTTTGGTTTCTAATTTAGTTTTGTTGACTTTCCAGTTTTAAATTTTATATTCTAAATTTAGATATTTAAAATTTTAAATTTTAAATTTTAGATTTTAAAATTTTTAATTTTTAATTTTAAATTTTAAAGTTTATACTTTAAACATTTAAGACTCAAAGTCTACACTTCTTAGACTCGAAAAGAATGTGCTTGATTCTATGTTAGTTTGACCCATGTAGTTCAACTTGTGGATTTTAAATTCTTTCCGTTAGAGAATTTAAAATCTGAAACAATTGGTAAATTTGGAATTTTTATTTTTAAGATTTATAAGAGAGATAATTTTTTAAGAAAATATTTTTTCTTCTTATCAAATAACGGAAAATATGATTAGAAAATAATTTTTCTTAGATTTTTTTTTTGGAAAAGTATTTTCTTCCAATCAAACACACCTTAATACGAAGTATAGACTAAAAAAGAATGCTTAAAATGAGAAATTTGTTCTCGACAATTTAGATTTTAGACAAACCAAAAACGAACTAGTTTTTTTCTTCTTCTTCAATTTCGAAACTTGACAAAGGAGGAAAATTTGCTAGCTAGTAAAACATTGTACAATACTAAACTTGACGCGTTGAATCCGGTGAGTCTTTGGAGAAAAAATAAAGTAAAAAAGATTCTCTATTGAACACGGTGAGTCTTTAAAATATTTTTTATACCACCTTGGTTCCCATGACATTGGGAACCAATGTTATGGGATGATCCGGGGGTGCTCTGGTGCCCCGTTCGTAAATTGCATCCCCCTTAAGCTTCCATTCGTTACACGCAGTTTAGCTTGACACTTCCCCCCACCTACGTCAATTGCATCCTACAATTTTATTTGACTTTGAGGTCAAAATTTTACTCCCTCCGTCCGGAAATATTCTTCCCATTTGACTTTTCTTGGTCAAAGTTTGTAAATTTTGACTATGGTACGTGAAAAAAATACATTGTATTGCGATATAACTTTAATATGAATATATTCATTTTGAAATATAGTTTTCAAATATCAAATTTTTATAAAATATATCCATGAATAAATAAAGATATTAGTAGTCAAAGTGCAATCTTGGAGACCGTAAAAAATCAAACAGGAAGAACATTTCTCGACGGAGGAAGTATACTTTAAAGTTAACTATACTTGCGGGGTGCAATTGACGTAGGTGGAGGGATGAGTTGATCGAGGTCGCGAGTGAGCAGGAGTGTTTCCAAGAGGGTTAGGAGAGAAAGGAATCATCAATTTTACGAATGGAGCATCGTAAGGGGACAGTGGCTTCCGTGACCACTGAAATCCAGTGGCCACGGAACCCAACCGTTAATATTTATGGTAGTTTTCTTTGTTTGGTAGTCTTCCTTATTTCTTACTCATGTTTATGGTAGAAAAGGTCATATTTGGACGATGGTTTTTTTTACGAAAGTCAAAACGCTAAATCTTAATGCTGACATTGTTCACAAGGAAAATGTTAGGGGTACACCAAAAGTGTACCCCAAACATCCCCTACCCCCTCCATCACCACACAAAAAAGGCAAGAAAATTTCAAAAAAAAAAAATAAAAAATAAAAAGAAAATAAAATGAATGGTGTAGAGGCAAGTGGTGTACATTTGGGGTATACCTTTGGTGTACCCCTAGCATATCTCTGTTCACAAACACAACCAAAGTACTACTACCACCGTCCGGAAATAAAAGAGGTAATTCAGTTTTCGATCTTTGACTGGAATTATTTAATCCAATTTATTTCAAATTTGTTATAGAAACAAAATAACATTTAAATATGTAAACAATTACATCATAAAATTTATAAAATAAAATGTGACATGACTAAATTACGTAACAATTAACAATAGCAAAATGCATATTACTTTCTCCATCCCTTCAGGTTTTTCCCGGTTCGCATTACAATGTTTGACCGAAGTAATTTTAAATCATTTTATATTAAAATTGGTATGGAATAAAAAAATAAAAATTATATATATAAAAACTACATCAAAAGATTTTCACAACTAGCTAAAGGTGATATGACTATATTATTTTATCAAATTGACAACGAAAATAAGTAAATAAAGTAGATAAAGTTTGGCCATGTGAAGAGGGACGTAGGGAGTATTAACAATAATCCACAGGGAGACCATGCAAGACACATATATACAATAATATCCTGATCAGAGAGAGCCTCATGTGCAAGTTTGAGGGATGTAACAATAGTTAGAATGCCACCAAGATATGTTTGCATTGAGTCACTGCCTTTTTGGAGACTATGAAGCTTTTCTTTTCCCCCAAATTGCATCCACCGAAAGCAAAGTATGAATATATGTGTGAACATTGGGTGAAACAATAGTCAAAAGGCAAGCCCGGATCTGTGTCTGTGCAGCAACAATCATCCAAGTCTCATATGCTAGATTAGCCTTCATAGTCGAAGGATCTTCTTTTGCCGGTGCTACGACTTTTTCGTCTAGAAGCAACGAAGTAGGCGCTAGTTCTGTGCCATCAACAAAACTAAGAAGATCACCATGAGATTAGCGCGTACGGTACGGTAGCACACCAAGAAGGATAATTCAAGTCATCAAGTTTTGTCGGTGTAAGAGATTGAAGATTCCGGACAAGTAACTTGAGACCGGCGGACAATTCATGGGATCATTGGAAGAAGGTGCCATGTTGTTAAAGAGCATCCCACATCGAAAAAGTGTGAGGAAATTAATCGGTATATAAGCTCTTGAGTTGAACTAACTAATCGATTGGATTCAATCTTTTATTGTGGTTCAACCCAAGTGTCTTATTATTCAATCCAGTTGTCCATACCCCATCCTAAAATTCTATCACATGTCAATCGCGGCTAGAGGAAGAGGATGGAGATCGACGTTGAAGGGGAAACAACCCTTACCAAATTTGTTCATATTCGGTATCAGCGATGAGGGGAGAGGGTAGGATCAGGCTCCGATACCATGTTGAATAATGAATTATAGATTTTACTCAAGTCAAAAGAGATTATACATTGATGTATATACACGGAGAGATCCTGACAGAATTAGGACTCAACCTATTGTTGAAACTCACCAATATATGAGTCCTACCACAATAAAAAAACTACCATAAATAATACAATTACTATTAATGTCTAACATTCTTAACTCCTAGATAGATACTCCTTTAATCCCAAAATCCTTTTTTAATTTCCTTAAATTTGTTTTTTCCTTATCCCAAAATATGTTTCTTATTTGTATTAAAAACTTACTTTTATTTGTACTATTTTTTACTGTATCTATCACTTCGCATCCATTTATTCATAATTTATCCATTACATCCTACTTTTACACGTCACATCAAACATATTTTTAGAAAAGCAACCCAAAAAAAAAAATTCCAGCCATAAATTCCATACAAGTTAAAAATAATGAAAGAGATTTTGGGACCGAGACAATATTTGGTAATGAGAATGATGACAATGTGATGAAAATCGAAGACTGTGATGAATAGGGGCAATGTCGTCGTGTTTGATGACACTTTACTTCATTCTTGTAATAATAACATTTAGATGCAACCAATGGTCTTGTGGTACAGCGGCATTAAGGCGACACTCCCGAATAAGAAGTCACGTTATATGTACCGCCTTAGAAAACGTATCCGGACTATCTCCGACATCTCGACTAGACGCTCGATGATTCCGTTGGAGGGGGGGTGTATGCTTAAGATTCAAACAAAAAAATACAATGAAGTGAATGAAAACACCCACCATGTGAATGCCGCAAACAGCAAGGGCTCCAATGATGAACAATCTGGCTTCTTCCTGCTTCTTATATATATATATCAACCCAAATCCAACTCCAATCCTTATACTTGCCACAATTTCCATGCTGCATATATAATATGCACACACATTATGCATTTCCCAATGGAACTTTAATTATATAATTCAGAAAGACTAACTATTATATGCGTGTAACGCGTGATCTCTCGACCGGGTGCTCACAAGAATGAAAAATCCAATTCCAAAGGAGAAAATGTGAGCAAAGGCAAAACAAGATATTGCTATAGCCAAGTTGGAGTGGGAAGGTCTAAGTGTTGAAAGCGCGACATGTGCCAGAGCTGATGTGTCACCCTTTTAGTGGTGGGATCAGTTTTTTTTTTTTTTTGCAATTTTTTTCCAAAAGCATACCACCATAGGGGTTTGAACCCCTAAGATCTCTTAGTCAATTAGTTGAGTCTCTAACCATACAAGCTAGGATACTTTTTGTTACAATGTCACTTAACCTTTTATAATATTTCATAATTAAAAAAGGATGGTATAAAAATTCCTTTTTAGTTATAAAAATTAAAATATAATCCTTTAATATAATATTTGAGACTCCGTTTGCTAGAAAGCCGCCAAGTGTCAAGTTTATGTGGCTATATTAAGGTGAGATGGCAAGCCTTTTTTGGCAGCTTATCTCACAAATTTTATTAATGATGAATTTACCTTTCTTTTTATTTTAAAATAAAAATTTAATAATGATTTCAAATTTTGGAAAAATTTTATGTAAAAAGATTCAGGACAAATAAAAAAATTCATTACTTCGTGAGATTGGTTGAGTATTTTTATTTTTAATTTTTAAAAAGCAATTCATTTATCTATTTGTTATGTTGTGATAAAATTAATTATGTTATAAAATCAAATTTGTAAAAGATAAATATAGTATTGTTCGGAATACAATTATTAAAGGAAAATAATTATATAAAATATAATTTTATGATAAAACTTATTAGATTTAGCAAAAAGTTTGTAAAAATATAAAATTGGTATTATCACTGACCATTTCTAGATTAACATTTTTTATGAACCAAATTTTAACTAAGTGCATACACAAAAAACAAAATTTTGAAAATGATATACTTTCGTTTAAAAGTATTCTTATAGGAAAGGATCAAATATGTTTATAATTGATTCTTTATTTATAAAATTGATATTTTAATTTCTAAGAAGCTGAGATGTGGTGTTGTTTACAAGACATTTCTGACACGTAAAATATATTATAGAAAGTAAGAAGTTAATACTATGGTATGAAGTCATTCGGTACAATTAATTATGGAAGAGAATATATAGAGATATTGATTTTTATAATAAATTATTTCCTAATTATGCATATTTTTCTATTCTGAGCGAAAAAAATATGAGTTTTGATATCTCTAGATATCCTAATCCTTTTCTGATGTTTGGTGAAGCCAAAAGAGTTATCGAATTTAATATCTTTAGATATCATAAATCTTTAAAATGGATGGTCTCAATATCTCTCGAATTTGGGAGAAATCAATATGGGGGTTTGATATCTCTCTCAATTGTTGATCATTCTTCGCCAATCGCTACCATTGTCACTGCCAACCACTCCCGTTGGCAGTCACCCATGCTTATCACTAATTAAATCTTGAAATTAAAACTCTCCAAATAAAATTATTTCAGATTACAAAACCCATATCATTTCTCTAAGTTTTCATAACCCACAAAATCCATATCATTTCTCTACATGAGAATAAAAACTATGAAAATCTCAAAATACGAGTCTTAAGTCTTTTAAAACTAAAATAAGAGTTCACATTGTAATTGTTACACTGTCACACTCATTATAACTGTCACACTACCACCGCCACACTCCCATCTCAGGCCGCCTACCCCATCCACAAGACCTCCACGCTTTGTGCCACCTATGGTGCCCTCCACCACCTACATCAGTCCAGCCCGCACCAACACTCTCCAGTCTCCACCCCATCCCTCGCAACAATGCGTCGCGGATTCTCAGGCTACTAAAATAGTTTTGATAATTTATTTTAATTATCAATTTTTAAATATTAACAATGTAAAACAATTTTTTGGAAAAAAATAAAAAATAATTCTCTCAGAAAATAAGTGATCCTAAATTTATCTCCTCTCCTACCCATACAAGTCTCAAAAAACCATCCACAACTCTATCTCCTGCTCCGAATCTTACATTTATCGTGTGGTTCGGGTAAGAGTATGTAGAAGAAAAGATCACATAAGAAAAAGAAAATTTTCATTCGCTTTCCGAAAAAATAACCCTTCCTCTTTCATTTTTTTTGTTTTTCTTAAAACACTTCCCCTTTCTATTAAAAAACCACTTTTACCTCTACTTTTTCATATCCTATCTATCACATTATACTTTTTCACTAACAACTAAACTATCACATCTTACTTTTACCCATCACATCAAGGAAAAAATTGGAAAGTCAACTACAATTTAACACTTCCTTATTTTACCCCAAAGTCAAAAGAGAAACGGAGGTAGTAAGAAAAAAATAAATAAACCATCGCATCAGCAGCAGCGGAAACTAAACACAGGAGGCGGACGGCTCAGTGCCGATCAGCGAAAACTTAGGAATTATTTTAGGTTTTGGGCATTCATACGAGGAAAGAATTGTGACTTGGAGAAATTCTCTTGTATTTCTAATATCTCCAATATGAACAAGGGCATGCATTTATTTAGTATAGACACATACACATGATTACACATTTTGCACATGTACACATTATTATGCATACAAAATCAACATAAATAATCAAAGGGTTGGATAGGAAGCCATCATGGCGAGGCCACAAAGTCCCTTGTTGTCACGAACGCCTCTTTTCATCCTCATGAAACCCTTCTCCCCCCACAGCTTCCCCCACGAGTTCTTCACCAACCAATACTTCACCCCTTGCTTCGTCTCCCCGTACCCGACCACAGTGACCGCATGGTCGAGCTCGGTCCCGCAGTGGCCGGCGAACACGCCGCCGTAGTAGAACTGGAATGCTTTCCCGGAGGCGTCGATCCCGACGGACACCGGCTGGTGCGCCGCCGCGTGGAGCAGGGCGGTCTCGTTGTCGGCGGGGACGTCCTCGTAGCCCCTGATCTTCGCCGCCGCCGACGCTGCGGTGGTGCATGTTCCGTTGCGCCCCGTGTATGGGTAGTCGGCCTCGGTGGCGAGTCCCTTGTTCTTGACGATGAACTTGAAAGCCGTGTCCATTAATCCGGCTGCGCAGCCGTGGTCGGCGCGGCTAACGTCGCAATCCACCAGTTGTTGTTCCGAGAGAGAAAGCAGTTTTCCGGTCGAGATCTGATGGATGCCTTCCACCGCCGCCACCGCACAGAACGCCCAACAAGATCCTGTAATGTATAATCCATGGGTTTCACTTATTCTCACTCTCTCAAAGTCATTTTTACTTCTTAAAACCATTCCTCTTTCATTTTTTTGTTTTTTTTAAAATACTTTTCTTTCCTATTAAAAAATCACTTTTACCCCTACTTTTTCATACCCTACCTATCACATCATACTTTTTTACTAACAACTAAACTATCACGTTTTACTTTTATTCATCACAATAGGGGCAAAATTGGAAAGTCAACTAAAATTACATTTTCTTTATTTTTCCCCAAAGTCAAGAGAGGAACCGTTTTGAGAAACGGATGGAGTAATAATTTACCCATCAAATCCTACTTTTACACATCATGTCAAATGACATTTTTGAAAATTCAATACAAAATATACTCTCCTTAATTAAATCTCTTCAAAATCAAAAGATCTCATCATCTTTAAATGAAGGGAAGGAATAGTATATTTGGTTCGAGGGAAATAGATAAGAAAATGACGCGAGAGAGAAAATAACTTTTGAAAAAATGACAAGAAAGAAAATAAAAGTGGAAAAAAGAGAAAATAAGAGACCAAAATTACTAAGAGAGAGAATTAACTTTTTAATGTTAATTACCACAACTGTGTTGATCCTTCACGCCTGTGACAGCTCCTTTCTTCTTCCAATTGATGCTTTTTGGAACTGATGTCACGTTACCATATCTAAATGGTGTTTTATTATTATTATGATTATTTTTATTGTTGCCACTTGGCATATTAGACTGACGAGGAATTCCTTGAAACCCAGTTTGACTGGCTAAGAATTCCTCGTTGGTCAAATCAGCAAACTGGTTGACTCCAAGCTTGTAACTCCCCTTCTTCCCATACCCCTTGTTAAAAGCCTCAATATATTCTACGTTTTCCTTGAATATGTAGAACCGCTTGGCTCTCTCTGCATCGTCGTTGTACGATCGCCCGTAGACTTTCATCCATTTCTCGTGTTTTTCCTGCATCGGCGACGAGGAGGTAGCCGCCCCCGGCGTTGGATTATAATAAGCTCCTCTGACTGTGGCGGTAGTACATATGATCGCCGCCACCACGGCCATGGAGGAAAAGAGCCAACTTTTGTCACCCATCATACTGCAAGAAATGTTACGTTGTAACCTTATTTTTCGAGATGTTATTAGGAAATCAACTCGATTAAAAGTTTCTAGTATATCAGGAGTATATAATTTTTTTTGTACTCTTACTAAGTACTTATTATATTTTATGGAATGAGGATTATATTTCAAGTAAGGGGATGTACTTATTATAAGCTAGGTGGGGTAGTATTTATACAACATATATGATTCACATGGCTGATGGGGGCTGGACGATCACGCTGCCGTCATGACGACTTTGGACTTTAATTTCTCTATGCGCCTCACTCTGCAAAACGAAGGCCATGTTTGGTAAATGATGGTTCACCCAGCATTTGGCATCTTTGACCAGAAACAACGGATTGGACTAATCAAACCGCTAAACTATTTGTTTGGATAATGGCTTTTGGAATTGGCATTTAGAACCGAAAAGCCAAAAATTGAAATGCCAACCTTAGCAGCATTTCATTTAGCAGTTCCCTCCCTTTTCCGTTTCTTACCCTTTTTTCGGCGATGTGTCTCTCTGCGATCCTCACGACACCGGAAGTTTTCCTGACTTTCACTCTGCAATTTCCCGACTAGTCGAGAGCTTGTTTGATTTTTGTCACTTCTAATGTTCATGCCGTCTCAAAAGATGTTTGATACTTCAGATTGTGATGCTTGTCTCAAGTAATTTATTTAATTTTTTTAATTTAAAATTGGTGTAGATTATTTTTATATATTTATGATATCATATTTTAAAAATTATAAAATAAAAAATATCATGCATGGTTGTTATTTGTAGAATGATAAATGAGAAAAATACAAAAAAAATCTACTTATAAAATATAAATGTAAATTCTCATTTCTTAAATTAAAAAAAAACGAAGTAGCCTTTTTTGTCCAACAAAAAAACATATGTAAATCATTTTCTTGTATAATGTGTGTATTTTATCAAATTAAAAAATTCAAAATCATACACAAATTAACATAAACGGAGGGATGTCCTTATATGTAATTTTACTCACAAACAGCTAACTATAAACAGCTAAAGTTGCCAAACATCTAATTTTTAACAGCTAACAAAAACAGCCGGTCAAAACAGCTAACTCAATCAGCCATTCAAACCAGCCAACATAAACAGCCAACTGCCAACTGCCGTGTTCCAAACAAAGCCGAAGTCATTGTTTGAGCTAACTGAATTTTAAAAGTTGAAAAAGATATAATAAAAATACTCTCTAGATGTTCTAAAAAGATTTTTTTCATGTTACTTATTTTTAATGTATAAACTTATTTTCTCAAATGCAAGTTTTTAACACTATTATATGCGTACGGTTATTTAAAAAATTGTACGAGTACATATTTAAATTCTAATATTGTTTTTAAAATTATATTTTTGTATAACATCTAAAATTTACTAAAAATATTAAAAATGAATGATTATAATAGCTTTAGTATATAACATTTGAAATTTTACTATTTTCTAAAGCAAGATGTTAATGCTAGCTAGTACTCTCTTCGTCCCTGTATATTTGTTCATATTTGACTTTTTTAGTCAAAATTGGAAAAATTGACTGAGATTATAGTTAAATTTACATTCGCTCATCAGCTAATTGTCAGAACAGTGTCGAGAGGCCCTCAGAGATGGGATACAATATCATCATCTTTTTTTCCTAATAAAGATGTTCATAGTTCATTTAATATTTCTTTTATTTCAAAATAATCTTTACATTAGGGACTAACGTTTTTAAAAGGTAAAAAAAGATAAAAGTGGTCGGAAATTGTTGAGAACCGATATACTCGTAAAAAATTTGGCCACCTTTTATTTCTTTAAAAAGAAAATACGGAGTGAAAATTATTTTAAGAACGAACGAATTGAAAAAGAGAAGAAGAAAATTTGTTTTGGAACGGACGACTTGCCAAATAAACCTATGCTTGAAAGGAGCAAGTTTTTGCTTTATTTTAAAATACGGAGTATTTCAAGATGCTTTAACTGTTTTATTTTCCTCCCCTAAAGCTATTTGGTTGTTAGAATACAATTTGGGACGTCCGATAAGATGAAGTCTTCAGTCTTCTCTTCAACTGCGTGCATTGCCCGTTGTTTGAAGTCCGCAAAAGATTTCAAATAACATCATGATATGCCTAAGGAATTCTTGCTATATCTCCAAATATCAAAAGCTTACTTTTTTTTAATATTAATACTACTATTATTATAATCTAATATTTGTTCATACATTTTCAAATGGTACAATTTTATAATAATAGGCCTTATTAAATATTAAAGGATACATTCCTATTAATACGGATTACATCAGAGAGTTTAATCATAATAGGAGAACAACTATAGTAATAATATAATTAGACAAACAATATGATAAGGAAAGTAATTAAATATAATATTTATTTCCTATTATCTAATATTCCTAATACCCATTAAACACAGAGTTATTACCTCATTGGGATCGAACATGTGACTTCTCATATGAGAAAGTCGCTATCCATTATATATGCTGCTCGATCACAAAGCCTTTGGTTATCAAAAGCTTACTAAAAAGGAGAGTTAATTAATATATTTCGAATTTGAAAATACCAATATGAAGATTTGATATCTCCTTTAACCATCATCTATTCTCACCACGGGCTCCAATCATCGTCGCCCACCCACCACTGTGTTTCGTTGTTAGTCAACTGTCACTGAAAATAATGATTTTAAATCTCTTATCCTACACCTATAACACTTGTTTTTCATAAATAAAAACAAGAAGCTAAAAGAGAATGGAAGCACAAGAAAACATTTGAAGAAAATGGAAACAATTGGAAAAAATTGAAAAAACTAAAAAAACTTTTAAAAAAATTAAAAACTCGAAATTAAAAGTTTAAGCCCTTACAAACAAGACTCTTACTCCCGTCCTCTCCGGTCCCAATGTGTGCTATGACTTTTTTTGTTATGTGCTATGTTTTTGGTACTACGATAATTATGACTTTTTTTTGGCAAACAATTATTATGACCGAAAGTTTTAGTTTTGCTTAATTTTACAACTAAGCCTCCGTACCCAGACGTGAGTCATATTTCTCGCTATCTAGTTTTGCAAAATAAAAAAAAATTCATGTTTGAAGAAATTGTGATAATTTCCATCATATATAATCATTTTTAATTAACCGCTTATCTACTTGATGGGAAGTGTTAAAATATCACACATTAGAAATTCAAGAGAAAAATAATCAGTATATATAAACTCTTGAGTTGAACTTAATAATCGATTGAAATTCAATTTTTTTAAATGGTTCAACCCAAGAATCCTACGGCTCAATCCAGCAAGTGTGTCATCATCCTAAATTGTATCATACTTTGGTGCATTTACAGAGTTTTGAACTTGTGTAATTAAACCACACCACAAAGGCACAAAGTAGCCATGCCCATAGGGCACCAAGTTGCAGTGCAATGAAAGTTTCTATGTGCAAATTCTTCAACCCGCACGACCTACAAGAAAGCGGGTCTTCGCACTGTATAATTGCAAAAGTAGTTACGTAATGGCTTCAAATTTGCATTCGCCACAAGGAATCGACTTGCCTTATGTCGTCCGCAATGTGCGCAACGACTCCAGCTCCATCGTTATGAAGCCATTCATTTTTCACCTGTTCTTCCCGGCAGGGGTTTAGGAAATCAGTTTTCTATGACATTGGATAAATGAACCAGGGAGAAACCTGAAGCTTGAATGAAGCTTACATGGATGTTGTTGTGAGCAAAGAATGGCCAAGTCGCAGAGTGGAAATTCACATCCACTTTTTTCCACCCTAATTGTTGCAAGCCGCGAATCATTTCCTCTGTTTAATTGACAATATTTTAGTTTCAAGACTGAATCAAAATGACACATTTAAAAAAACAACACATTCTACACTCATTTTTACTGCTCTAAGACAGATATTTGGTTCTATAAAACGTTTAGCCTTTAATGTTGAAGTTGTTGCAAAGCCGGTTGTGAGTCTGTTGGGGATTTTTAAAAGAGAATGTGAAACATCATAAGGGCTGCTTAATTACCTTCAACAAATTCATGATACTTCAATGCATTCTTAGTGTTGGGTTCATGTTGTGCAGCTTCTTTTGCTTTGGCTGCTTCGGGAGGGAAATGAGGTCCATCCAATAAAACCGGAGGGCAGTATTCAACCGCTACAACATGCTTGTAGACATCATCCAATGAATGTAGGGGAGGCTGCAACAGGTATAGGATATTATATGTCTTAACAAAGTTGCACATTTTCTGATACAAACATTTTGCATGATAAAATGCCAAACAGATGCCTTCCAATAGTTAGAAACTTAGAAGTTAGAAACCTTCTCTTCACACTAAAAAAGAAGTATTTGTAACATGTATTGCCACATAACTGATCATACCAACTTAACCACGAGTATTTCGGGTAGGGTAGGTGGCATTGGCAAGAAATTTCGTGTCAATTTTAATTTAATCAACACTAAGAATCCAAACAAAGATAAAGATATAAAGTTTTATGCTGAATGCCCTTTGTGCCGAAATCTTACTCCGTCCATCCCAAGATGTTGAGCCCCTACGAAAAGTCGTGCCAAACTTTAAATATTAATTTCTCTTAAAATATATTGGCAAAAATCATAAACTTTATAAATTATGAAACCAGTTTTATTTAAAGAGAAATTAGTGACCAAACTTTGACAGAATCTCCCAAAATTACCATCGTTTTGGGACCGAGGGGGTAAGGGATAATAAGATGAAATTACAAAGCAATCATCATAGATTATTTTCAACGTGCATGGCAAATATGATGAATAATTAATTAGTAATGCACAAATTACCTTGACGAGTTCTGCCTCCCTTCGTATAGAAGAAGTCCGCCAACCAACCATGTCTAAGTTTATTTTATGTCAAGAAAGTTTAAATATTTGAACACAATTTAGGCAAGTGAGTGCATTAAATAAATTTTAAATGAAAATTTGAGCAGGATACGGTCATAAGAGACATTAGCATAAATGGTGCGGTATCTAAAGGCACCAAGTGCAGACCTAATAAACAATAACAATAACAACAATGATCATAATATTAACAAATATAAAAATCTTTGTGACCCAGTATAAATATCTTTAATATTGATAAGTATAAGAACCCTAAAACGATAGTCAAATACATTTTATTACTCACAAAAATTGGCCATCTTCGCAGTCCGATGCCATTTTTAAAAGAAGAGGCAGTTTATTTGGTTTGCCGTCTGTAAGGAAAAGCTGGCTACCAGTTCGGCCAACAAAAACTGGAGCAATTGGCACAGCAAGCCTTTCCAAGGCACTGACTCCCAGAAGAAATGGAAGCTGCATCATAAAAGAAATCAATTATCCCAGTTTCAACACCTTGAGCTAAATCAATCTGAGAGTTATCAAAGTCTAAAGATGATAATCCCTATAATAAGGTTCTATGTGCAATCATGTTGCAAGAAACTTTGAAAACACATCAATTTGTATAAAAGATTCTATACCAACTGTAATACGTGAAAGGACTCCTTTCTCATTTTCAAAAAAGCGTTTAAGCCAAATCAAACTTATTTTAAAAATAAAACTTCCATTATTTAGCTTATTGCATGTCAAACACAGCTTAAGATATTTAGAGCAATGAACTTGCTACTAGACAAGAGTTGAAACTTAAAAAAGATTCAACTATGAAACACTGCCCATACTAATATACAATACTTTTTATTTCCAGGCAATACATGCATGTGAAACTGTCAGAACCCCAATATGTGGCTTTTCCATGCAAGACGCATTAGGAAGCCCCACCATAAACTTGGTTGGTTAACCACCCAAAAAAAAATTATATGACGGGACTAAACCTGTTTGTTGCCTCTTACTCCAAGATGTGGGGTGGCCAAGGTGATGAAATGGATGGGTTCCAGACCAGCAATTAGTCCTCTTGCTGGACCAAACTTATCATTAGATGGGCTTGGTGTATGAAGAGCAGAGATTGCATATCTTGCAATCAGTCCACCAAGAGAATGCGATAGAAAAGATATCTTTCGAAGTCTCTTTCTCTCTTGCACAAGTTGTATGACCTATTAACATAGACTTAAATTAGGGCGGGCATTATGACTAGAAAATCCATGTCACTTCTATGTTATGGCAACACCTTTGCATTCACGAAAATATAATTAGGGTACTCCGTTTCAAATACTCACGTCATCCGCTAATCGTTTTCCAGCTCCATCGATCCCATTAAATGTTTTTGTGTAACAATTACATGAACTTGCTGAACATAGAAAAGTACTTAATTAACTATACTTTCACCTCGTAGTGAATCAGAAGTAACTTGGAATGTATCCAAATAAAAAAAAAAGTAAAATGAAGTAAACTAATACATTTCATGCATAAAATAAATACAAAATAAACAATTCAATGATAATCAGGTTTGTTTATAGGGTCATGAGAAAAACGTTTTGATGTTCAATCTGATTGGGATGTGGATTACAGATTACTGCCAATTTAGAAGTTGAAACTGTCATAATCCATTCAGGTCTTTTCATCACATTAGAAGGAAATGGAAAATCCTTTTGAATATATTATACTTCAACTCAAACGCCTTGGTGATTTTTTTGAAAAATCATTAAAATAAACTATATATTCATTCAGATGCATTGGTCAGGAAAACCTTTATATTGTAAACAGTAACATTAGCCGTACAACTGCAAGTGACCAAAGAAAATGTATGTATATTAGGGTTATATAAGAGAATGATACAAAGAATTTAGGAAATGGCAGTTTTAAAATAATACTCACTCCGTCCCAAAAGAAAAGACACCGGTTTGGTTTGCGATCTTAATTTCAATTCAGTTTATTTTAAAATGGGTGTAGAACTAAATAATACGGAGTAATATTTATATACTTAAAAAGATTTATAATACAAGAGGTGGCATGAATATATTATTTGGTCAAATTATCACTTAAAATATGTAAAGAAAGTGTATATAGTTTGACGTTGTAAATAGTAATTGTGTCCTTTATTTTGGGACGGAGTAATAGAAATACCATAGATTAAGAAATTGCTTCCCAGCTGCTTCTTCAACTCTGCTTGGATATAAGTCCAGTCACTTGGGCTGCATCACTTAAAAAAGATAAAGAAAAACATAAGCACAAAACACTCCACGTTTAAGTGAAGCACGTTTCCTTTGAAATTAAAAAATGGCAAGCTGTTTTCTTTAAATATTAAAAATAATATTTCTGATTCAAGATGCAAGTTACTCATTATGCTCCCTTGGACTTTCAACAAATGATTTTCTGTTAAAAATCCAACTGATATTGTTACTTTCAATTGGATTCAAGACTGGAGTTACTCATCATGGTTGAAAGTAACTTCAGTCTTTAATTTAAACTTAAAATCAAAGAATGCTGTTTTCATCAATATTAAGTGAATTCCCATGTGTGGGGTCTAGGGGATGTATACACACCTTATCTCTACCCTGAAAAGATAGAAAGACTGTTTTTTCAAAGATCCAGGCTCAAAGATATAAGAGAAAAATGACCATAGTACAACAAGTAAAAGAAAGGTAAACAAATAAGAAAGGAGAAAAATCTACCAGCAAATGAAAAGGGCTACGAAGCAACATCCCGCTAAACCTAGCTAACCTTGAAAGCCCTAACTACACAGAGAACCACTCCTATGTGAGCCTACCCATACCCTACAACTTTAATCATGAATTTCCAAATGCTCTTGTCAAATATCATGTCCTCGATGAATTGTAGAAGCCTCAAGTCAGTGAAAAAACACTTCCACAAATAATTCTACATGCATCCTACTTTAATTTAAATGTTTGCTTCTTAGGCTTTCAGAAAGTATGTCTAAAGTCCTATGTATGGAGAAACTAGTAAAGCCTTAAATACTACTACCGCCGTCACAAAACAAAATATGCAAACTATCTTTTTTGCCCTCCTAAAGAACTTTGTATATTTCCTTTTAAGGAAATAAATTGATTGTTCATATGGTTTCTTTCTCTTCTATACAAATCTCAACCACACAATTCACATTTTCTTATGCCAAGTCAAACTTGGCAAAGTGTATTGGGGGTGAAGGGACTAGGGAGTATGCTTTTCTTCATTTCTGATTTGACTAATTAAAAATTACATATGGGGAAATATTCCAAGTAAGACAAAAAAACTATGCATATTTTACATTGCATGTGTACCAAAACCTTCATGAAAGTCAAAACCAATACACAAAAATCATTCGAAATGTATCACAATAACATTGAAGTTGATAACGAATAGGGTATTGAAAAGGAAAGCAAAATATAAATATATTTACCTAAATATTCTACTCTATTTGGAAGTTGGAACTTGTATTCCAAATCAGAAATAAAAGAATCAAGTGCAAAACTAGTTGAATTGTATCTAAGGGAGCATTCTTCAGTTGTTATTCGAAATTTCTCTGCCTCACTATAAAAAAAAAGTCTATGCCTAGACTATGACATTATAATGGAGTATTTTCTTTCAGTTCCATTGTAACTATGACATTGTTATTGAACCAAGTGGTATGGATTCTATATTGAGCTCTAGAATACACGAGTAAAATATTATGACTCGTTTGAGGTTGGTCACCTGCCCATGATGCCGTGAACAAGAACAATGAGATGATCAGGCTCGTCCGTAGCTTTAATAATGCAACTTGGTGACGGATCAACTCCTTGGGACACATTCATAGCATAAGCTTTTAAGCTCTGATTCTTCCAGATATTATTAAAACCTTCAAAAATTCAAGAATGACTTAAAATCAAAATGAAGAAAAGTAGGTGACAAACAACTACAAACTTGCCAAGACAATAAATGCAAGAACAAAAAGACACATTTAAGGAGGAGAAAGAAAAGGATAAACCAAAACAAAAAATGTATTTTTGCATTAAAAGTTTAAACCCTTGTTCAAACAATACACTCTCTCCGGCCTAAATTTCTCTTCTAGTTTGCTTTTCTTAATCGCACTACGTCCTTAATGTCCCTTCCAAGGAAAGATTTGTGTGGTTGATTTAGTGTACCTCATTTCTAAATAAATACGAAGTAACAACTAAAATATTACTATATTTTCTTAATAAGTTTCCAAGTCCAGACCAGAACAAAATTTTAGAAGAAATCTTCCTAAATAAGATTAAAATATAGAGAAAATACCAAAAATAAGGGGTTCCATGTTTTTACTCGCTAAATAGGAGTTTGCATTGTAGTCATGTGGCACTGTACATGACCATTTTACGTAGTGTACATGGTCATGATTGATAATTTAACTGCATTTAAGCTCCTATTTCGGGAATAAAAATATGGAAATCCTATTTTAGTATATTTTCAATGTTTTACTCCAACTTTAGTCTTTTCCCCAAATTTTAGGGCACTAGGACTCTAGGAATAATATAGAAACAAGTCTTGTATATTTCACACATTGTCTATATATAAGTTCAAAATTTTGGGTAAGTGTGGTGTGCAAATGGTGTTTCCCAGGACAAAAAAAGTGGTAGCCCCAAAAATTAGGAGTCTACTTCTGACCTAATTTATCATTTCGATTGTCATTAACCATCGCCATAAACTAGGAAACAACTTTCCAAACCTGCAACCGGGCATTGCAATGTTCAAATGGAATTCCTCTTTCCTTTTCGCAGTGAATTTAAGTTTTAGCATCTATCGCAACAGTACTAGTCAAACCTGCATTAAGCCCGAGAAGACGTGTGGCCTCCGACCACGTCGTCGGGTAGCGCGGCCAGCCCCTCCGCCCGCCCGGCAGCCTTGCGCGCGGTCTCGACACCCCTCGTGGCTGCGCAGGTCTCCATGCCTCCATCTTTCTCGTTTAATTCTTTTTTTAGTTTTAACTGCGCGAGGAGACGAAGGTATAAGTGTAGACTGTAGAGTGCCTATATTGTATTTCCCTCCTATATGGACATATTGACTAAAAAGGTAGTACGGAGTAAAATCAAAAGAAATAATTTTGTGTTATAGGTAAAGATAAAAGTGATTTTTTAATAGAAATGGAATTAACTTTTAGAGACACGGTTTTTTTGAAACGTGAAAGATTTTTGGAGACAGAGGGAGTATCACTTAACGTAGCAACTAATTACAAAAAATGGTTTTGGTAAAAAGAAGTGTACCTAGATATGAGTAAAGAAGTTTAAAAATATCAAAATAAGAGTCTTATGTCTTTTAAGACCAAAATTGGAGTATAATGACATTGTGGTATAAGAATATGCATTGGCAATGTGATGGAAAAGTAACAACAGTGTAACATGCTAGTGTGACCAATCAACCATCGACGATCTGTAGCGACATTCCGTGTGATAGTTAAAATGTGACAATATGGTGAGTGTGATAGTGTAACAATAGCAGTGTGAACTCTTGTTTTGGTCTTAAAAGGTTTGTGACTCCTATTTTAATATTTTCATAGTTTTTTACCCCTATATAAAATAAATGTATTAAAAAATTTTTTGTATGTATCAATATATAATATCAATTTTATTTATCTAATAATCAAATAATTAAAGTTTATCAATTTGAGCCAAAGATCTTGTAGTCCAACGGTATGATAATGACTGTCTCATATGGGAGGTCACATATTAGATACTGAGGGGAGCAATAACTCTACGTACTTAATGGATTGAGAATGTATAAACAATTACAACATTATAAAAGAGGGGTGATGTGTGCGTGCATAGTATACTCCCTATATAATACTCTGCTCGTCCCACATCTTTCTTTGCGTTACCCAAAGCGAAGAAAGATCTTAAAATTTTTTCAATCTATTTTTATTGAGATATTGGTATAGAAATAGCAAATAAAACTTACATATTTAAGAAGTGTATCAAGAGTTCAACAAAATGAATAGTGTCAGAAATATTTCATTTTTATCAAATAAGCCATGAAAAATACAAATAAATAGGCATTCGCGTGAAGTTGGAATAGCACGGTACGAGAGTAAAGATATGTGAGGGAGGGAATACTCTGTAGGGTAGAAATATACGAGCGTTGGATAGATGGAGTAGTACATTAAGGCTGGGGCAAGAGAAAGAGTGGGGGCGGGATGCCGGTATAGTTTTTGCCGAGGCCGCCAAACACTCGGCCAGAGCCCGGGTTTCTTTTGATCCTCATATAACCGTCTTCGCCCGAGTGGGTTCCAAATGAGTTCTTGGCCAACCAATAACCAACCCCGCCGTCGTCGTCGGTGGCGTTACCATACCCCACGATGGTGAAGGCGTGGCCACGATAACCGCTACAATTGGTCGAAGAGAAACTGAAAACTCCTCCCTTGTACGACATGAACCTCGTGAGATCATCGTCACAGGTAGGTAAAGAGAACTCGACGGCGACAGGCTGACAGGCCACAGCGTAACGGAGGTGTTCCTCGGCGACACCACCTCCAAGAAATGCCACGCCTCTAAGCCCGTCGTTTGGGACGACGAGGGTTTGGTTGTCCTCCTTCTTGATCTGCTTCCTGCGACGACAAGTCCCACTTGTGTTGACCGCATATGGGTACGCGGTCTCATTAATCACACCCCCTGGCTCGAACATAATGTATCTGAACGCATTCTCCACGCTCCCGCCCTTACACCCCTGGTTTTTTTTTCGGTCGCAGTCCACCAGTTGTTGTTCCGATAACGCCACCAGTCTACCCCTTAAAATCTTGATTATTCCTTCTGCTGCCGCTATCGCCGCAAACGCCCAACCAGAACCTGCATGCATGCAGATCAATATATATATGTAGTAATTTTTTTTTAAAAAAAAAAAAATACTCCCTCCGTCCCGTGAAACCTTTCCCTTTTCTTTTTTTATCCGTCACACAAAACACTTCTCATTTCTATTAAAAAGTCATTTTTACCCCTTACTTTTTCATACCCTAACTATCACATCATACCTTTTTACTAATAATCTATCCATCAAATCATACTTTTACCCATCGCATCAAAGGGCATTTTTGGAAATTCAATATCAAAATACACTTCCTTAAATCCCTCCTAAAAAGCAAATGTCCCATGTTTCACGGGAAAGGGATAGAAAATAATTTAATCGCGTACAGGGAAAAGATCGAAAATCGAAGAATGTCATATGGTTACCGCAGTTTTGTTGGTTTTTGACGTGAGTAACAGCACCCTCCAACCTCCAGTCCACGGAGTCTGGAGCAGTTTCCGGCGGCCAAGACGGATTCCGAAACCTAACGGGCTCTACAGTACTAGCTGTCTCTGTAGGCTTGTTGGCGGTGTTAGTGTGCAGTGGGAGTTCCGCCGCCGCCGCCGCCGCCTCCTCATTGGGGTCCGCGGACTGGGTGAAGAACTTGGAGTTTTGTACGAAGTTCTTAACTCGTTTTACCCCCACAAAGCTATTCTCGTAAGACCGGCCACTTGTGCCCATCCACTGTGCATGACGACGATCGGTCATGGGTGGGGTTTGGGATGCCGCTACCGCCGCAGACGGCGGCCGCCCTTGCTGCGGTAAGAGAACTGCAAGGGTGAAAAATATGAAGTAGTAAAACTTGGTAATGTGGGCCATCATGATATGGCTTAATAATACTCCGTATGTGTTTTAATTGACACTAAACAAAATGGTTCATCTCGATTTATATAGAGCAATGTAATCAATAATCACCAAGGTTCTCATGACATTGGGTTTCAATGTTATGGGATGACCCGGGGGTGCTCCGGTGCCCCGTTCGTAAAATTGACGGTTCCTACCCCCCTAACCTCCCCGGTAAACCCCCCACCTCGGCCCCGACCCGAACACGCCCCCCTACCCCCATCAATTGCACCCCACAAGTTGATTTTGACTTTGGAGTCAAATTTTGACTCCAAAGTCAAAATCAACTTGTGGGGTGCAATTGATGGGGGTAGGGGGGCGTGTTCGGGTCGGGGCCGAGGTGGGGGGTTTACCGGGGGGGTTAGGAGGGCTAGGAACCGTCAATTTTACGAACGGGGCACCGGAGCACCCCCGGGTCATCCCATGACATTGGAACCCAATGTCATGGGAACCCCACCCATCAATAATAAAGAGGCATTTGAGTCTCTCATTTGATTTTAATTGGTACGGTACGCGCATACAGTGATATGATGTATGTGTCATTTGGCGAAACTGATTACGTTTTGGCTTTGAAATTGTGCATGTGACTTATTCCACTTTTCCTTTTTTTACAATTTGAATAATAGAGTGTTTGGTACTCCGTTGCTTTTCAGAATTTAATTTCTGCTTTTAAGTTATAATCATTTTATTGTGTTTGCTATACCAACTTCTGCTTTCCTTCATCATGATACGGTATCGTATCGGGATAGGGAAGGTTGAGCACCTTCAAGCTATAGAATTGGGGAAAAGGAAGAGAAGAGAGAATCGCACGACACTTTGTTCGGCGGAATAGAAGAACGAGAAGGAAGAGGAAGAGATTAAAGTTTAGGAGAAAATATTTTCTTTATTCATTGCTTGATAATACTATGGTGATGGATACATTTATAGGCTCCAAGTCTAGAGAATCCTAATAATAAATGGTAACTAAATAATTAAGAATCCTAATTATAAAAGGTAACTAAATAAACTAGGAAACTAATTAATCACCTAACAAATATATTATTCCCTAATAATAGTTAACTAACTATAAATAATTCCTTACCATAACAATAATAATAATAATAGTCCCGTAACACTCTCCCCGTCTCGAAAACCAACTTGTCCTCAAGTTGGAAACCTGGAAAAAACGAGGAATCATGCGTTGTGAACAGACATCCTCCGGGGTCAAACACCTTGATCCTTGGAGCACCAAAAGAACGAGTCACGCCTAAAACATTTCCAGTGTCAAGTAAACAGTTCCGGCCAACTAAGAGTGAGAATATTATGCAATCACGTGCAATATCCTCAGAAGTATAAAGGACAACAATATCCCATATTTTTCTGTGCTTTCATAATAAATGGCATCATCACTTGAAATTTTTGCCTGGACAATTTGGTCTCGGTGGTCTTCTCCATCAACATTATTTGTAGGAACAGGATCAGTAACAATAACAAAAGCATCATCGGAAATACCTACCGGATGAACAACAATTTCCTCCATCGTGAGTGACTTATTGGTACCCAGGACATTGGACCCACTTTTCATGTCATCTTCGACATGTGGTTCATTGCTTAAATTTTCCACAAAAGGACCAGTGTGTGCGGCCTTGTCTTCCACGATCTGAACAATCAGGTCCCCAGCCTTAGGGGCTAGATTTGGTGAAGAAAGTGGAGCACCAATGAGTTTCTTTATCACGCTCATCATATTTGTTTTGAACAAATGTAACTCTATCGGGATCAAACTTGGAAAAATTGGGAGGCCACGAACTAAATCCTGTATTGAGCAAAAGGCATCTACGGCGAACGCATATACCTCGGAATCAAATTTTGGTTGACCTTCAATTTGACGGAATGCCTGAAGTTTCTTTATAATTTCATCCACCGAATCTTCGACTGCACACACGCCTTCATAAAATTCAATTTTTTCCCGTAGAACTTTCTCGAGTAAACCAAGAGCTTTGTCCAAAAGAGAATCCATTGCCAAAAGAAACACCACCACAAAAAAAATTGAATTGAATTTTGTGGCCGATTTTTTTTTTGTATACTTTTTTTTGGGTGAGTTCAAGAATGAAAGCACCAATTGATACGGTATCGTATCGGGATAGGGAAGGATTTCGAGCACCTTCGAGCTCCAAGAACAAAAGAGGTGAGAAAGAGAAGGATTAAGGTTTAGGAGAAAGTATTTTCTTTATTCATTTGTGGGCCGTAGAACACACTGGAACAGTGGCACCACACACAATTCGGACGACGATGTTCCTGATCGATCGGCAGCCCTAGTTTGCAGCGGTCAAACACTTTCTTTTTATGTGGATTTGTACATAGAATATCATTTTGGAAAAGCAAATATATGATGCTTCTGTCTTCAACTTTTGTGAAAATTATTTTATCCACAAATTAATCACTCTCAAGCATCTTTTAAGCATTTCTCACTTTAGACTAAGGAAACTCTCTTTTTTTTACCCCAATTTTTTCTTTCACCAATCACTTTATCTCCTAGTATAGGATTGTTTTCACTCAAAAATAGTGTAGAGTTGTTGAACGTTAGTATCCCTTCGTTTTACAAAATGATTCCTCTTTCACTTTTATTTTTTACATGAAACACTTTAACGTTCTATTAAAAATTCTATTTTATCCCTACAACATTTACCTAACATATTACATCAGATTTATTCAATATTAATCTACATGTCACATTCTACTTTTACCTATCACATCTAAAGGTAAAACTAGAAATTAAAGTAGAATAAGAAATACAGACTCCTTAAATTTGCCAAAAGTCAAAACCAAAACTAGTTAATTACAAATCCTATCTATTCCTCCATCCCAAATGAATGGTATTACTACTTCATTATTGACATGCAAATAAAAAAGGACAACGAGTTCGAATCTTATGGGCATTCAAATATACGTTTGTAAACAAATCAACTCAATCAAAAACTCAAGCTTGTGCTTATGATTCAAAAAATATTTTTTATATTCTAACAAGCTTTATTCTCACGTGTAGACGTGGTCTTTTTGAGTCTTGCACGTGAAACCTTAATTTTTTTTAAATTTGATGACGATGAGTTTCAAATCCATTACATTTTAATTAGTCATCAAGACTCTGATATCATGGCAAGGAACCAACTCAACCAAAAACTAGAGCTTGTGGTTGTGGCTTATGAAATGTTGTTTTTATATTCTAACGTTAATGAATAATTTGATATATGCTCCATAGTATTTAAATATATACAAATTAAATTTTATTTTAAAGTTTAGTTGTTTTAATTAAATAAATTAGATTGAAAAGAAACTCACTCGAAACACATTATTTGTAAGAATCTTAGATAAGCTACTTCCAACGTTGTACTCCAAAAGTTGTACCCTGAATTATATATTGCAGGTATGCACTTGCATTTTGTGAGTGTCAGTGTCATGTCAACTTAGCGTGATGGTTGACATAGACACCAAATGCATGCATTAACATATTATGTCATTGTCAACCATCAAAATGTTAGCACATAATTTTGATATATACTTTGAGGTACATTTCATGGGCCCTCTGGCATGATAGTATTTGTAATTCTTCTAGGTGGATGGAGTAAATGAAAACCGGTTGTGTTTGCTGTTTGGCAAAGGTTTGCACTTAGAGAAGGTAAATTGAGAAGGTACATTGTAGTATTGTACAACAACTATCTCAAAAAAGAAAAGATACCTTCTTAAAAGGTAAAAATTTCTAAAGGAAGAGGGTAGATGAGATGTAAAATTGAGGTTCGCTCCCTTTGTTTTTCTTGATTAACTTTTTAAATTTAAAAATTTTATAAAAATCCAATTAGTTTATTGGAAAAAAGTTAGAATGTCAATTATCAAATAGTCAAATATACATTATATCCAATTGCACATGTAAAATTATAATTACCCGGGTAGAACAAAACTTAAAAACACAAAGTACAAAATTAAAAAAAAAGAAATTATCTTCTCTTTTTAATTCTTGACTTGTTAAGTTTTACAAATTACAAGGATACGAATTAAAAACTTATAATAATACATTCAAGCAAAATTACAAAAAGATACAATAAATAAAGTAATTGACAATAAATTTAAAAAAGTGAGAAAAGTTAATATACCTCCCCAAATTGAGAAAGATAAAGATACCTTCTCAAAATTGAAGAAGGTATAATGTCATTTCATATGCAATTTTAATTTTTTTTAAATATGTAATTTTAATTTTTTTAAATATACAATTTTAATTTTTTTTAACTATATACCATTTATCATATAAAATGATTTAAAAATAATTTCAGTTAAACATCATAAACCGAAACAAACGATTTAAAATGGAATGTAGGGAGTCCAATGTGAAATTTTCTAGCTTGGTGTACTGGTTTTACTTTCGCTTTAAAAAGATACCGAGTAGAATAAAACATTTCCCTTCATTTCAGGTATCTAATAAGTACCATTTTTTCCTCCTTAATTTCAGGTGTATATTCTACTATTGAAAAAACATATGGAGTACCAATGTACCATATTAAGATTTTTATTTGAGATTACCCGAAGAAGAATAAAAAAGTTACGGAGTTACAACTTTGCCCTTAATTTTAAATTGGAGAAGTTAAAATAAAATTTAAATGAGGTAAAAGAGTCAACAAATTAAAGAACTCCTAAATTATATGGAGCATTCTAAAAGAAACGTGTAGAAATACAATGAGACTCTTCAAGAAGTAATACTGAACAAACACTTAAATTTAAGTATACATGTTTCTCTTCAAAAAGCAATATTGAACCCCCAAGACCCACATTTGCGTTAGAGGTTAGCGTTTGCGTTTTAAAAATGTCATCTGATGGTAACATCAAAATTAATTTACACCATTAAAATTTTATCCAAATCACTAACACTAATCGAAAACATTGTTCCGAAACAAGACATATATATACCATTATTTAAATAGATTTTTTTTCCCTGGAGTACATTTTTAATGCTATTGACTCTATTACAAGGTAATACATGTTCATATTATTTTTAACCTAATGACGCATAAAGAGTTAATGCCTCTGCTTTCTTTGGGGCTCAAACTTGAATGAACTTCCCCATGAATCATGGGAATAGACTTGCTACCATTCAAGCCAAGGGAGAAGTTCCCTGAGGTACAATTTAATTTGGCTTTAATGTTCTAACATTAAACATCATTATTTTATCATACTCCGTAATACCACAAAGGTGTAGATAAAAAGTTACACGTTTTTTATTTTGAGAAACTCATAGGCATGCTTGACAACTTTAACATTTTGAAAATATCATCTAACGACAATGTTTAACTTTAGCATTTTGTCATTTCCAAAGTTAATCTACAACATCAAAAAGGTATATATAAATCAGTATCAATATATTATTAAAAATGTTGTTCTCAAACAAGGCCTAAGATATTGAAGTATAAACATGATTACAATTGAACGACAAAGCATAGGTCCCATGTTTTTAGGCAAACAAAACCACGATGGAAATCCATTTTTTGATCGCTCAAAAAGGACAATTAATGCCTTGTTTTTTCATTCAAACAATTGACTTGAGCATATTAAGATGGTTGTTCTCATTGTTGTGTTAACAAATTTCCAAGTGCTAGGATAAGAGACTTTGGGTCAAAAATGGTACCCACTTTTGGATCATGGAATGAATCTACAGGGACCTGCAAGAGTTGAAGTTTTACAAGAGCAAATCCTTTCTAAAACAAGTGGACTTGTTCAAATATATTAGAAGAATACAGGACATTACCAAAAGAGCAGCAGAAGAAACTACAAAAGCACATACCACATTATAAATCCCTTGGGAAGAGAGTTGATCAATGTCGACAGGAACTTGGCCATCTTTTGGCATCAGAATTGTATTGATATATCTGTTTGGCTGCATGGTCAAGCCAAAGAGGAGCAATAAATTCTTGTTTCATGTAATCCTAATTAGTGTATGTGTTCTATACACCAACAACAAAGCCTTATCCCATTCCAATTTACAATGTTTAACATTAATATGAATTAGACAAGGAAGAGATCAATGTAACCTGGATATCAAATATAAAGCATTGACAAGTGTATATCCTCAATAAAAAAATCTAGACATCCAACCTACATAGTACAAACAAATAAACATACATGTGCCTCCCCATTTATGTTAATCAGTAGAGAATTTCTTGACACCACTATTTGTAGATTAAAAATTGTAGAATTTCATTTAGAACAAACCATTTTAGTATTCGAATTGCCTCTAACTCCAAGATAAGACTAACCGTATTCATTCCACACCTCACGTTTAAATAATCAAAAACAGAAAGGCTTTTGTAAGCCGGATTGTGTGCTTTATCTCAGAGCTGATTACATTACTTCCCATTAATGCAGCTGACAGTAAACCATGATTTTGCAAGAAAAGACCAAAGGCACTCAGTCATGTGATGTTTAACACTTAACCCTTGTTTGGTTAGGAGATTTCTTAGGGAATGGAAGGAGGGTGTGATATTTATTTTATGATTATACTCTTACATTTAGATGGTTTAAAAAGGAAGTGAAGATAAAAGATTATATATAAATACATTATTTAAGTGAACATAGAGTTATTTCACAATGGTTCTTTTGATGCTGGATTCCGGTGTCATAATATGACACCGAAGCCATTTGGGGCCCTATGGAATCCAAACCGAGTCCTACCCCAACTAAGACCCCCCCTCCCCNCCCTTGCACCCCTTCTTCAACACTTCCTAGAGCCCCAAATGACTGGTGCGGTGGTGCCATTTATGACAGCCAAACTCGGTGCCAAAAGAACCGAACAGTATTCTTTTGTAGCTTAAGGCTAACATATATAGATATGCTACTGAAATGAAAATGAGTCTTTTCCTACCCTCCCCTCCCTTCCCATCCAAAAGTTCCTAATAATACAGCTGAGATAAAAGCTGAACCAGAAATACGTGGGCATAAACCACATGAGATGTGTACATCTGTAGCTACTTACAGGATTTTTAAGGCACTTATGATTATCCGCGTGAATTCGATTTAAGGCATTGGTGATGGCTGTCACAAAGCAGGAGGCAGTGAAGCCACTAGTTTCTCGGTCATGAGTACCATTCAACATAAGTACCTAAGGAGGATGTTACACATGGAAGAAGAAAACATTCTCTCACACATACATATCTGAAATCAAGATATACATGAAACCATTAGCACATACACGTTTACAGCATCATCATCAACAACAAACCCAGTAAAATAACGCAAGAGTAGGGTCTGGAGGTGTGTACGTAGACCTTACCCCTACTTGGAAGTAGAGAGGCTTCTTCTTAAAGACCTCCGGCTCAAACACAAAAGCAAAGGCAAAGTAAGCACAGTAGCACGAACAAGTACAAGTACAAGCACAAGAAACACACACACACTGACAATAACTAGACCCTGAGCATAGAAAACCACAGAAAGCATACAAACGCAAGCTACAAACTAAGACAAAACACAACAGCAAATCTACAAACTAATTCCTAGAGGTCTACCCAATTACTCTAATCTCAGCTCTACAAGCGTTCTTATCTAATTCTACGGTCATATCTTCGCTAAGATATTAAAGTCTGGTATATTCACCTCCTTCCTAGATGTAATCCTTACGCACACCCATTACCACAAGCCTCTCGCATCTCCTCACTGGAGCATGCACTTCTTCTTCTTACTACACAAACCACCTCAACCTAGCACATACCATGGTTTCAAAAGGCGGCCGAGGCGGTGTGGCGGTTGCATTTCGCTTCTGAGGCTTAAGCCTCAACAGGGTATCAAAGGTGTACGCCTCACAATGTTAAGGCAGTCTGAGGTGGTAAGGCATAACCGAGGCGTAAGCCTCAATTTTAATACACAATTCAACTATAAGTTTTATTTTGAAATAGCTATTGGGCCTTTTTTACAAAAACTTATTTGGGCCTATGCATTGTATAGTTTCTAAAGAAAAACTTAATAAACCTAGTAGATAATTAACACTTCTTTCTTAAATTTTAGCATCAACTTCCGTGTCTCCATCTTCAACCATACTTCTCTCCATCTTCAGACTTCAGTGGCACAGCTTCTCTCTTGCAGTAGTGGCTAAGCCAATTTTTAATTGCTTATCTTCTATTTCTTTCATCGATCTCTTTCAACTTTTAATATTTTCGGTTCCTTCTTTTCGAACATCCCTCTTCCTCATTTAAAATCAGTTCAAACTTCAAAAAATGATGTACCTTTTTTTCTTTTTGTGTGAACTTTTATCCATATTCAAACTTTAAACAACCCCAGTGCCTCAAAGGCTCCCGTCCATTGCGGGTAGAGGTCAGATGTACGCAGCCTGACCCTATGTATAAACATAATTTTTAAAAACATAGAGTGGTTGTTTTAGATGACTCATGATGAACGTCAAAAGTTGATTAACTAAGTGCTACCTCACTATAAAAGAAGTGCAACAGTTTAAAGAGTCATTTTGCTTTATTCCATCATACTCCAAAGCCAAATAATAGTGAATCTTTGGCTCCATCGTAGATGGTGGAAAAACCCACACCGAGGTTATGATTGGAAATAATTTCCCACGATTTTATGATCCAATTGGTTAAGACATGGGACTTCAATCCCACATTGAAGTATGGGAATGTGTTGTACACTTCAAAGAACCATGGGACATTTTCGGTTTGGTTCACGGTAACCTTAAGCTGTGTGGTTTAGACAATGTGATATCAATTATATGCTTTAATTATTAGGGGATAATTCAAGATTTTCAATAATAATACCAATGTCATCTAACAACACCTAAAAAGCAAACTCCAAAAAATAATTTGGGAACACTTTGATGTGCCCACATTTTCAAATTTGGAAATGAAATCATGTGGGTATATTAACTCACATGGAACCCACATGGATTTATAACTTTCTTTCCATATTTGGTGGGCCCCTTAAAATTTTCCTAAGAAACTTGAGGTAACCATATTACATCCCATGTTATTTCACATCACTACATGGAAACACTATTGTCTTTTTTATGGAAGATTATACTGGTAATCCGGATACATAAATACAACATTAGGAGCTTTTGAGGTGTAATTCTCCTATCAGTCGTTACTTGTTACCCACAACCATCCACTTAATTTTTGAGATGAGCAATTACCTTCGGGCATGACCGGGAAGAAATTGTTTCTCCAACTCCGTGTAAAACCTATGTTTGTAGGTAAAGGCACGTGAAATTGACAATATTGAAGTGCAGTACGGTTATACCAATTGGCTGATGAAACCTTTTATTGAAAGATGAGCTCAACCAGAATGGAAAGTGACATCCGAGCCCTGTTTGGCACATGGCTATTACATCCGAGCCCTGTTTGGGTAAGCTCTTTGGGTAGATGTTTACACAAGCTGTTTGTAATAGCTCGTAACTGTTTAGGGAAAAAAAATGTTTGGGAGATGAGTTGTTTGTACTTAATATCAGCTGTCTGCTCTTTTCAAGGTAAAAATTATAGGTTGAAAAAGTCATCTTCAATAAGCTTTTTGAAATCCAGTTTTTTGGGATAAAAAAAGTTGTTCCAAAAAGCTGCTCACCGAACACTTCTAATAGTTGTTAGACCAGTCATTTACCTCAAAACTCCTCAACAAAAAGTTATCCAAAAAGCCGTGTGCCAAACATCGCTATGATTCTTATTTAGTTAAAAAAGGAACTCAAGATATAGTTACCAGAGAGGGGCAGATAGAAGTAAAGAGTGACCCCATGGCAAACATGATGCAATCTGCATTTTTCAATTGTTCCAAGACTGTTGGATTTACAGCTGGGAAGACCTGATCATTGGAAAATGGGGAAAATTAATAATAGAGATTGGGAAATTAGTTCAGGACATCAGACATGCATACCTATTTTCCCATACATGAGGGGATCACATCAACGGGATGAATACTCCAGCACATAAAATAAAGAACTAAAGGAAAATGATAAATTAGAATGTCCATATATAAAAAATAAATAAAAATGTTAGATTGTGTCAAACTCGCTCCAAAAGAAACCTCAAAGGATGAGATTTACCTGAAAGTTTTAAATTAGATTCAAACTTTGTAAACGACCGATGTGGATACACTATAAATCCCCAAAAGAGCTGCCTTAAACCCTCATGTGTGTAGATGCCCCATATACACATACTATAATCGCCTCAAACCTTGATTCCATGTTAAATTGGGTCTAAGCTAACATAGTACTCGTCCTCTGTGGATCAAGCTTTAAACATGTGTCTAGTGTTAGTGCGTGGCAGCTTTTTTGTGTTCGTACATGTGCTTTTTATTGACTTGGAAAATGAATTTGAAAAAATGGTGAACGGAAACATATTTTATATGCACGTGAAAAAACAGAGAAAGAAAAAAGAGTATAGAATAGAAAATTGGAAAATAGAACTAAATAGGAACATCTATTCAATCAACAAAGTTGTGACCAACAACAACAACAACAACAACCCAGTTAAATCCCACAAGAGTAGGGTCTGGGGAGGGTGTGTGTACGCAGACCTTGCTCCTACTCGAAAGTTGTGACCATATTTAATTATTTACCTCGTGCAATAAGTTGCTGCCTTCACTTGACATGTAGAAAACTCGCTTTATTTTTGAAGGAAGAGCAGGACATGAAGTGACTCCCTATCCAGATAGCATCAACAGTCAAATTCTGTGAGAAATATAACCCGTAACTTCTAAAACATATTAAGAATATAACAAATTGAGTGGAAAATTAATGGTTCACGTGTGCTAATATAATTAGTCAAGTTATTAAAAAGAGTAAGTTTTAAGCTAATTTGGTAAACACTTTTGGGCTTATCAACCTTGTCAGCCAGAATTTCTACCAAACACTAGTTCATTAGTGTGCGATGTGTGAGATGGTGGATACATAAATTGCTGAATGAGATTGGGTTTGAAGACAGGTGTGACAATTAATCAGACATCCATATTGCAAGTAATCTGGTGTTTTATGAGCAGACAAAACACATCGAAGTGAATTGACATTTTATTCAAAAGAAGATACAACTAGGGTTGATTCTATGCCACGTGTACTAATTGGAGAATATTATTGACAATATTTTAGCTTCATATTAGACTGGGTTTGTTGTTGTTTATGTATGAATCGGAGAACTAGCAGATTTGTATACAAAAGGGCTTAGTGGTTGTAAAATCTATGTTACAAATTGGGCAAGAGCTATAGTACTCTCCAAATTCAGGGAGCATGTGAAGATGTGTCTTAGGGTTTAGGGCTTTGGGCCAAGCCCATAAGCAAATAGAAGTTGCAAACCCAAGAGTACAAAATTCTTATTATACCATGTAACAATCTATTAATGGTCGGTCTTTAATTACGGAGTAATTTAAAACATTTCAAATAAATTTGTAGATAATTCAACACAATTGTTTCAATCACTTCAATTACAAAATCAGAAATTTGAGCTCTTTCAGTTATTTCTGCCAAATACAGTTAATTTACCTCAATCAAACGAGATCTAAAACACAATAAGACTGTTCAAAAGATTTGCATTTTTAAATACTACAGCCATTTGCAGAACAAGACATAACTAATTCATTTTTGCGAAACAACAGGATTGGCTAAAAGGCATTTTCGGTTGAATACATGCAAGTGAATGAGTGATATGTAAGGGCAAATGCAGAGAAAAACATCAGAAAGGAGAAGACATTGTGAGAAAAACATCAGTATTTCTTTAGAAAGCATGTAACAATGCAAAAAGATACCTTAGCTATAGGTTCCATGCATCCATTTGTTGGATGAGATATTTCATTCTGTCCACGTATAATGGTACCATCCTAAAATACATTGGATTATTATATAAAAAGCAAAATGACAAGCAGTTTGGATTTGATATCCAGCAGCATAGTTAAGGAGTGTTTTTGTAATGATTTACGTGACTAAACCAAAACTAGGAAAAAGCATGCTCATTGGAACATCTTGTCACATCATCTAATATATCAGTCATGATACGAAAAAAGCACACTTCAATGTAATCGAACTGTCAACAAATGGAACC